GCTTCACTGAGTTACGCAAGCCCCTTCGCCACGACAAGGCAGTGATCCATGAAGGAGACAGACTGACTAGTCTGCAGTTTAATGGATCCTTGTTTTCCCTTTTCCTTAAGATAGGGACAACATTTGTCCCCATCTGTCAGTTCACCATTTCTCCAGGATTTCTCTCACATAATACATAAAGGTTTGGTCAGGTCACCTGCATATTGTTTCAGTACCCTAGGATGCAATTTATTTGACACTGGAAATTTAAGCTTATTCAAAATAAGGTATTCATTGACCATGTTTCTATCAACCTTAAGTTTTGATCATGTCATTTCATCCTGCTCTTCAGAATTGCCTGGTGGAACTCACACTATCTCAGAAAAGACTAAGCCAAAAGATGAATTGAGTCGTTCTATTTTTTCTTTACTATCTATTAATGTTTTCCAATTTCATGGCCTTTTGATCTGCCTTTTATTTTGAACATGTCTCAAGAAGTCCTTTCTGTTGTTCTTAAACATCCTTTGCCAACCTCAGCTTATTCTGTTGGGACCCAGGAAGAGTGGCTTCTCTGTCACCACACTGCCTTCTGGAATGGGATCCCTCAGGGATTTATGTGCCTCTTATTCTTTTGGTATTCTAGAAAGCCTTGAAAACCTCTCCTACTCCTATAGCATTCTTTTCTGTTTTCAGAATTTCGCTAAGTTTTTGTGCAGCTACACTGGTTTCTTCTTACATCTTCCTATCATTAAATTTGTTTGTACCTCCATTTTAGGGACTTCCACTCATTTTGATCTTCTTTTCCCATTGATTTTTTTCCTATAGAATCCTATTTATTATATCTCTGAGTTTATTAAAATCCACTTTCTTAAAATTTAAAAAATGCATTTAATTATCCTCCGCTTTTGTTTCCCTTACAATCAAGAACGCCACTGTTACATGGTTTCTTTCCACTTACTTTACTGCTACTTCAACTTCCAGACTATGTCTACCATATTGGTAGTATCATTGGCTTCATGAAAGTAGAGTAGTTTTATCCTAAGTCTAAGAGATTAATGAAAGGGAAGTGATCTCATGCAACAGCTACTTTCAAACATACATTGAACACACCGATCTTATGGCATGCCTCTTCATGGGAGAGCTACAATGTTTCATCTTCATCAGTTTTAAACAAAGATTATAAACCTGAATGTTCTCATTTACTCTTAGTTAAATAATAATGCCAATCTATATCTCAAAAACTGAAATTTTAACTCTCATTATTTTTTAATGTCTGAATTCTCCTTGGATCAACATCAGCAGTCTTTGTACCAAATTTATGATGTAAAACAGTATTGTAGAAGGAATTAAAAAAAAAAAGTAAACTACCTTCAAAGGCTTTTTGCCTTGAATGATAGTTTAAAAATATTTTAAAATTGCAATTCTGGGAGGGAGATGGGCCCAGGAGCAACTAGATACTTCTGGCATCCTATTTCAAGGAAGAGATTTCATATTAGATGCCCTTATCCAGTTCCTGAAGATACACCTCTGAGGCCCTTGTTAGTTTGAAATAGGAACTTGGATGCTTATTGAGGCATATTGGGTGGGTTGGCATGGATAGACTTGGACTGTATTCCAGCCTTTACACTGGTATATATGTTTTTACTCCTATTGATTTCAATGCAGAAGGAAAACTGTCAGAGAAAAAACAAAGTTGAAAAAAAAAGGTCGATCAACCCACATTTAGCTTTGCCAGTGTAAATACAGCAGGATAAGGTGTTTTATTCTAGCTCTGGATGTCCCTGTCCCATTGGTGGAAGTGCATTGTCCATACGTAAATAAATATACAGAAAATTGGACCCTTACAGCTGGGTTACACGGTGTGTCAAACATGGGATTATCAAACCCTTCCTTAATGGTCCCTTCAAAACCTTCTTGATCCTTTTTTCGGTTCCACAAAGAGAAAAGGTGCCAAGAAGAGAGAGATCTGTGAAAATAGAAATGACAGAACATAAACAAAGACAATTGTAGTTGGCTTCTTAAGAAGAGCACTGCAGTCCACTGAACTTAATAAATTGTCAGAACATCAAATCTGTGTACCATCAGTGAAAACTGGCCTGAAAGAGAGGCTGCCCTAACATCAGCAGACTGTGTGAAGATACTGAGAGATTTCTCAAACACATCCATTTAGGGGAAAGCAAAAGACTGGTAATAGGTTTCCAAAACACAGTGAAACTGACATGTGAGAAAGACAGCTGATTTGATAGTATAAGACAGTACACTAATGTAGGCAGGGGCCAGTCCTAACATTAGGCATATTGACACAATAATCTCGGAGTGCAGGTGTTCACCAGCACAGAACAGAAGAGGTAGACTCCGCACATCCTGTTGTCTTCCTTATGACCACAGTTCTTTGCAAGACTGCCTATCTCCAATTTTTCTGCTCATCTCCTGGGCATGAGATAGAATGGGCATGCTTTGGGTACTTGCCATGAAATAATGTCATCTAATGGGACCCAGGAGGTGCGCTTTCTTTGTAACAGCACTTGCCCTTTAGAACACATACTGTCCAAGGTTTGGACAGCCCCAATCCTGTTGGCTTTCAGTAAGGCCTTAAAAACCTGGTTTTTCCTCCAGGCACTGGGCTAGGCTGTTGGAGGAACCCATCTGGGAAATGATTTTGGAATGTGAACATGATGTGATATGGCCTTGGTTGTGTTGTATGGCAGTGTGTTTCTATAGTGTTTATGCTGCTTGGTTATTTCGTTTTGTGTTTTAATCCTATGTTAGCACTCAATTTGCCTTGAGTGGTCATATATACATTACCTAAACCAACAAATGAGTAAATTGATCTAGCCTGCCATCTTCAGTGCTGTGGAATATGCAGGCCTGTCAGTATCAACTTCTAGTTAACTTCTGTATATGGAACTGGTTGATGGCTCCATATTGTCCTTTACCCAAGGCAATAGAATTGGGTTGTCCCTGATGTAGCAATCATGTCTACAAAGCAGTCATTGGGAACATTGCAAATATATGTATGTAGGTATTTATTTAAACACATACTTTAAAAATAAATACAGTGGTACCTCGGGTTACGAACGCCTCGTTAACGAACTTTTCGGGTTACGACCAGCTCCGGCCGTAAAAATTTACCTCGGTTTGCGAACTCCGCCTCGGGGTACGAACAGGATACACGGCCATTTTCCCTCCCGTGACACGGCCCACGGCCATTTTTCCGCCCCTGACATGTGGTCCGCAGCCATTTTTCCGCCCCTGGCACATGGTCCGCAGCCATTTTTCTGCCCCTGACACGTGGTCCGCGGCCATTTTCCGCCCCTGACA